CGACCACTTGAGCATAGAGGAACCGGGCATCGATTCTGCTGCTTGGACGACATCCAAACCTTATCACCGGTCGTAAAAGTCTGTCGCGAGTACCATCTACTCGTTGCCCTGACCTTTATAGACCACGAAAAAGCATTTGACAGCATCACAACGAATGCATTCCTATCAGCGCTCATCAACCACGAAGTGAACTGGTCCTATACACGAATACTAGCAGTCTGTTATCGGTACTACAGCACAAATATACAGCTTTTTCATCGACCCCTCACTATCCCCGCAGGGAAAAGAGTTCGACAAAGCGACAACATATCGTGAAATCTGCTCACTGCCACACCGCAGTGGGATAATGAAGTCACTCGATAGGAGTAAGAAGTGCATACGTATTGATGGGAAATTCCTATCAAATCTTCGTTTCACGAGTGCCATCGTCATTTCTTTGACGAGTACCAGTGAAGCAGAGGTGAGGCTCGATGAACTCAACGAAGTGGCAAGGAAAAATGGACTGTGCATAAATAGGACGAAGACTTACTTTATGAAGTACCCATGGTGCGAAGGCGGACAAATCGAATTGGGCAGTTCTTGACATCCCGATTAATGCAGTCAGTAGTGATAGAAAATCTATAATCAAGAAATGCGCTCCGCTTGGCTAATGTTTGTTCCTGTAAGAACGATGTCATCAGCAAAGCAAAGATAGTGTAATTGTCAACCATCGATTCATGTTATCCACTCCAATGTTCGTGTGATGTTCTCGAGGGTGACGGTAAATAGTTTTGGCGAGATGGTGTCACCTTGCCTAACACCTCTTTTGGCGACGATGTTAATATCGTCGTTGAATGGTGAATGTCTTGGTTGTGAAATCTTTGTATAGCTCACGAAGAATCTTTATACAGTTTGCTGCGACGCCCTGGCTGCCTACTTCTTCCAGGACTGCTTATATATCTCAGCTGAGTCGAAAATTTTTTTTAAATTGACGAAAGTGAGATGGAGCGGTATTTTGTACTCTCGCGAAACATCAGTAAGTCTTGTTAACCCGTGGATGTGGGCCATCGTAGTGAATCCTAGTGGAAACCCAACTTGCTCACATTGCTGTCCTTCGTACAGTGTTCTGTCAATATTGTTTAACTCGGCTGAAAAGTTTGTGGACGACAGACAGCAAGCAGATTGGACGATAGTTGCCGACATCGTGGAGATCACCATTCTTGAACAGTAAGACGATCTTGCTCGCAGTAAATAAGAACCTTGCATTCCAACAGGTAGCGTGTGTAGAGCCGAGCCATCGTGTTTATGAGGACTTGCGGAAGGTTCTTCAGGTGTTCAGATCATATCCTGTTAGAACCTAATGTTGCTCGATTTTCACCGAATTTCGGAAGGGAAAGCTGTACGGCATGTCCATCCTTTTTTATTTCGCTAGAGGGCAGGACAACGTGGCTATTGAAGAGATCTGAGTAGTAATCGTCAGTGACTCTCTTCATTGTCCTTCTGGAAACTGTAATCGTTCTGTAATGTAATGAAAGTGTAATGCTGACGGCACAGATCGATAGAACTAGCTGAGAGACAGGCGAAACGAAGAACCCGCACGGTGTGGAGGTGAACGCGTTACACCCCGGAAAGGACAATAGCGCGTTCGTTCCCCACCGCAGATACCTGCGGCCCGGAGTTTTGCAAATATCTCAGCAATTTTGTGGTTGTATTTAGCTTAATATCCTGCCATAGAAGTAATAGAAGGCAGAAAATAAAAAGTAAACATTGTAATCGTTCTATCTGGTTATCGAAGTGCAACCATCTTGGTCTTGTAATTGGCGAAGCTTCGGTGGACTTTGCGAATTCTTTTCCCAACTCTGCAGCTTCGGCCATAACTGCTGCTCTTCTCTCTTTAAGATCTTCTTTTATCGACTGTCTGCATTGTTTTGCAAGTTCGGAAGTGAGCTAGCGGTTGCCTATAGTTCGTTCGATTTCACGCTAGCGTATCAACCTAAGTATTTCTGGCGACAGAAATCTCTTGATGACTTTCAAACTTTTACCTTTCATTGGACTAACGTAAAGATGTTGAATGAGCCGATCGTATTACTCGTCGATCTTCCCAGAAGTTGACTAACAGCGTGAAGAAATCCCATTTTATGGCGGTTTTAGGACTTCATTTTTTGAACTTAACGGATTCCTATCTCTTCTGCGACAAATGGATTCTCGCTTGGAGAAGCCGATCGTCCGATTCCGTGTCGAATTTTAGGACAACGGCAAGATCGTTTAAGCAAGCCTTCAGCTTTCTGTGATTCTTTCTATGTTGGCTATTTCGTCTTGGTATTCTGCATTGTAAGACTCTCACGTACATCGTTGGGAGTGGGGATTCTGTAATTGCGAGTTACCATGAATGGTATTGGTGGTCGCTATATACCTATAAAGCAGGTTACCTGTTCGTTCGATTCTGATCCATGGGTCCTAATGTAACATTTTCCCGAGTCCAATCTTAGCGTGAAAATCTCCGTTCATGACGTTATAGAAAATATGGTCTTCTTTGTGGAACTTTTCCAAGTTCGTATAGAACGCTGTGACTTCTTCGCTCATTCTCGGTGTCTAGACGTCTGATTCGTGTTGTTTGTTGTGCAAATGAATCGATGTTCATGGCTAAACCCGTGTTTACGAGAAAACCGGCGCTGCCAACTCCTCTACTGTCGCATGTTCCGAGAAACCTGCCCTCTAGCGAAATAAAAAAGGATGGACATGCCGTACAGCTTTCCCTTCCGAAAAAGTTGAATGGTTGGCGTCTTCTCGTCTCGACCAATCCGACGATATCGTGTGTTATTTGTCTTTCCTACATAATCATGTCCATAATCGAGTCCTCTATTGAAGACTCAGATGCAAGTATGCCTACACTGTAGGTACAGATCGTCATCTTAGTCCTTTGCGATTTGAGCAGGATAGAATGGCCCTGAGATTTTAGCGGCCTCTCCGTACCCATTGCTGCCTGCGGAATTGGAAACTCTTTCGGGGTCAGGGAATGAAGCCCGTTTAATTTACTGTGTTTAACTTTTTCATATCCACGTATAGCTTGCTGATCTCTGAACATGGGAGCTGGGCATACTCGTGGGTATCTTGTCGGCCTCTCCCAAAGTAGACGGGAGCTTGCTTGTTGAGAGCGACTCCTAACCGAATCTCATTTCCATCGCTGTCATTTAGTTACGAGCTTTTGGCCGAACTAACTCGTAAAATACAATCCTCACAAAGGAGATCGTGCCCATGCATGCGTGCACGAATACGTCGTCGCAAATGCGGAGGTTACGTGCTAAATCGACGCAGAGCAAACGGATAGTCCATTCTCTTGATCCATCTGCCTTTCAAAGAAATAAGCGTCGCTTCACATCCGCCATTAACCGCCTACTTGGGAACAGTCCATGTTGGCTTGAGACTAACCAACAGGAGACCCCTCCATGAGGAAGATCCCATGCATATATATATATATATGTGTTTACTTATTCATTTGTTTAATTTGCATGACCCAACATCACATCTGTCACATTGTGCAAACCCAACACTTTTTGGGCCTGATTCGTTTCGTCGCATTCATCATTAGCGAAACTGTTTAGATTTTTCCGTGTGATTTCGATTTGGTTTCGACCATTGCTTGAGGATCACTAGTCATCCGAATATGGTTGATAGCGATCAAATCGATTCTGATTCGAATTGTGGGATATCAGCGCTAGATTTTCTTCCCAGATCTTTATCACAAATAATTGCAAGCTTTTGTGTATCGCAGAGAACGGGCTGATTTCAGACGAGTGTGTAGCTAGCTCCCCAACGCATGAAGGATGAGGTGCGCGGTCTGCTCGAGCAGAATAGAGCCAGGATCTTACACGTACTGAACTTCCCGTTGATGGGTGATTGCTGATGGCAAAAAAGATCGATAGAAGTAGCTGAGATATACGCAACGCGAGGGACCCGGATGGTGTAGTGGTGAAGTGCGTTGCTCCCCGGTAGGGACAACAGCACTTGTTCGTTCTCCACTGCATACACCTATGGTCCGGAGTTTTGCAAATATCTCAGCATTTCATACGAGTTATATTTCGCAACATAACCTGCCATTAAGAAGAAGAAAGGCAGTAAATAAAAGAGTTAAGATTACGTAACAATTTGATGTTACCGGTTCTGAAGAAGAAGAACCGGCGAAGCATTAGTCACTGTTGCATAAAACTTTTGTAGACAACGTCGTCTCTGCTCAAGAAGAAAACGATAACTTATTTATCATTACCGACATAGAAAGTTGATCTTGGGAATTAACCACTTTACTCATATTGTTTTTCGGCGATATTTTGGGATTTTATTTTTCTTATTTTATATGACCCGTCTATTGTGTGGATCCCAGCACTTCTCACATTCAATTCGCTTCCTCGCATCCATTGTTCACGAAGATTTTCCCACTTTTACGACCTCGTTTTCTGCTTGAGGATTTTCACTTTATCTTGAATGTCGTAAGTGCTGGTTGAGTCGATTCTGTCTGCAATACTGAGATAACCTTGCTGGAGCGTTACCAATTTGATTGCAGAGAGTGATTTCTTTCCAGACGAATCCGGTACCAATTTGCCAACCCCGGAGGTATGAGAGGCATGGTTGGCTCGGAACGGAATCAAACTAGCTCCACACTGGTCACTACCACTGTGCTATCCGCCTCCTTATTTTGTTACTTCTAAGTAGAGTTCAATCCTGTTTATATTATTGATTTTGGAAAGCAGGAATCGGTACACAGCTCAGCAAAAATATAGCACTAGTTGAATAAATTATGTCGAATCCATCCGTGGTATCCAGCCCAGGGAATCAAGAGACGCAGAATGCGCTCTGCTTCTTTGTAGTAGCTATCCATACGACTGTTCCTTATACTTCTTTCATACTTGTTTTTTATATGACTATTTTTTATATGACTTTGCTATGAATTCTTACAGAAAATGCCGAAAGAGAAAGATAACATTTTTCATTCGACATTACTAAGTAAGATTAGTTGCCTCTTCAGGATGGCTCTCCTACGATATGCCTCAATTTTGGGCGCTTTTGGTATGGTTGCGCACATCGTCACAAATATACTCTACACCGAATATCCTCTCCATTTCGACGGTGAAACTGAAGAAGGGTTTGATGACGTTCGGAAGGCTTTTCGGTTGGTTTTGATATTTTTTTCCTACCATGATTTTGGATCATATTTGTTGTGAATTCTTTTAATTAGTGAAACGATATTTTTTCAGCTGTTTCTCAAAAGAAAATGGGCTAAAAGACTGAAATTATTAAACTGAATGGGTACTGTTAATAAAGGGATAAAGCATAAAGCTCTCGACGTTGATCAATCCCTGAGGAATACGTCATGCATTCGACTCCATTAAGCATCGTTTGGAGGTGATTGAATGCATGTCTGGCCTTTACAATGACTCGCGTTGGCTTCCGGAAGTATCCAACCAGTGTGCTGCTATCCTCCCAGACAAGTCTGGTACCAATTTGCCGACCCCGAAGGGATGGAAGGCTTGGTGGGCCATGGGTGCAGGGATCGATTCCACGTAAGTGCTGCAGAGCGCCTCCGACCACTATGCCACACGCGCACTTTTTAGAGATAGAGAGAATGGTGCAAAAACTTTTGCAGTTAATCCATTGATTTACATGTTTTGTACAGTGTCTTCTAAATATTACACGTTTATATTGAGCATTCAGGCAGAATTTCTTGGATGGTTGGGAAGCCGAAGGAGCTTCGCTAGCAGTTTTTGTGAAAGGTCAGAAAGTAGTTGATATATGGGGAGGATATGCCGACAAACATGCGGCTAGAAAGTGGAGACAGGTGGGACGGTGACCATCGAATATCCACTATTCGAGTATTCGAGAAGTTAGAAATTTTGTGATAAACAAGGTCTATATGCAAATTACTCATGTTTCAAAACCTGCTGTCATTGTTTTAACTTCTATTTAATGCCTGCTCTTTTTTCATGACAGGGTAAACTGTGGAATACAATCACAATGATGCTGAGATATGAGCAAAATCCGGAACCTTACCCGCTCTTCAAACCCGCGATTATGCTTGCCAGGAGCTTATGTGCTAGCCACCACACCAACCGAGGCTATTGTTTTGCCTTTTTCTTAGTTTTTTGCTTAATAATTGTTATCAGCAGTCATCTATGGCCAAGAGAAGGTCTAAGCAAGAGCCCCGATTGATGTGATGGGTAGATAACACGTGGACCCTCGAAAAGGATAGTCGCGATATCGTCGTCAGTCTGAAGTTCCGTGTTTTGCTGAAATCTGAGCACGCTTGCGGTTGCAAATCATTGTTTTCAATTTCTTATTCACGCTTCTAGTACTTGCTTACCCGAAGCGTCAAATCAATTTCTATATCCAGTACAAACCATTGATTTTCGGAAGTCAATGTTGAATTTCGGCCTACATTCTCAGAGTGGCGTATCTCACTTCATTAATCGAAATGAAAGCCATTATAACCTACAAATTCTCTCCACTGAGAAACGAGTACTTTTTTACGAATTGCACAAACTTCTCGCCTTCAGAAGGCGATCAAGTTTTTGAAGGCAGTCTCGACCTAAGCTTCATTTCTGAAACGTTGCTTACACAGAATATTATCGAAATACTTGAAGTGGTAGTCGGTATCCAAGAGGTCTGGTGAAATGTGGTGGATGAAGCAAAGTTTCTTAGTCCAGTTCGTTCATCATAGGTAATGAGATGTGTGGCCGAAGATTATTGTCGAAAAGAATTGGTCCTTTTTAACCAATGCGGAACGCGGTTATTAAAATTTCTGAAACAATTCGTTAAAATGCTGAGCGTACTTTCCTACGCAAGTTGTTTCACCTAGCTCTGATGAACTTGACCGGATGTGGGCCACCAAACTGTGAGGACGATTTACTTTTGATGCGGCTTTGAGAACTACTGCACAGCTTAATCAGGGTCCAACCACAGAGAATTGTTACTGGTTCTAGAAGAGGATCTATTTCTCGTCGCGCGTCACGATATCATCGAGAAAAGACTCGTTTTGTTGTGCAGAAGTGCCAACGATGGCTCGAGAAAACAATTTCCTTGACAGCCATTCATTTCGCGCACCATTCATTTGTTGAGCATCTTCAGTCATCCAATTTTCTTCAAATAGTCTAAGACAGTTGAAGGCCGAGACCAAGTTTACTAAAAGTTTTCGATTTGCGCTCCTCCATTTGCTTTAGACAAGGCCTTCAATTCATTGTCGTAAATAGCGAGGCCCACGACCTACCTTAACTTCATGATGAAATCCACCACTACAAAATTTTCTAAACCAATATTGAATCGTTCTTCAACACTTCTTCTGCACCATGCCTCATTAATCTTCGTCTGCGCTGCACATCGAGCGAGTTTGAATTTATAGAGATACGTTAAAAGATAAAAGGATAAATCTCTCGATGTTCATCAGTCCCTGAGGTATGCGTCATGCACTCGACTTCATTAAGTATTGTTGGAGGTGATTGAATATCTGGCCTTTTACAATGAGTCGCGGTGGCCTACCGATGTATCGAGTCAGAACTACTTTCCTCCCAGACAAGTCTGATACCAATTTGCCGACGCTGAAGGAATAAAAGTCTTGGTGGGCCAGAGGCGGGAGACCGATCCCACGTGTGTGTTGAAGGACGCCTCTGACCACTGCGCCACACGCGCCAGAAGTACACTGACGAAATAAGTCCGTTTACCAACCTAGTTTAAGCTTAACAATTTAAATATATCATAGAAGTTGACTGGTCGAATTTGCTACTTTGACATCTGAAACACCAGACTTTAGAACTTGCCAAGAACGCAGCTTACATTACATTTCAATTATACACGGCGAAAATGCATACAGTGAGCTTTACATAATCTGTTAAAATACAGTATCCTAAAAAGCAATTGTTTTTAAAAATGTTCAGGAAGAATGGAACTGAAAATCCGGAACTAATTTCCGGGTAACCTAATAAAAATAGTGAGCAATGTGGACAGCTTATGTATATGACCTTGAAATTTCCGAAAGTGAGTTAGTGTCTGAAGCATTTGAGGCCACAGAATATTCAGTAGCTTTCATAGTGAGCAATAAATTTGGGTATTTAAAAGTTCAATAGCCTTCCAATGCGAAATATTGGAAATAGAAATGATGTATCTTCTTTATTAAGGCAGCTGTTGGGAAAGACTAGTCTTGAAATGAGCTATCGTATATGAAGGTGAAGAAAACGTTGAACGATGATAGCTACAATACAAAACGTATATTCAGGACACTCTTAGTGTAGTCTTCTCAAGTACGAAGGCGGTTGCGGCTCTGTGTATAGCAGTTCTTGCTGATCGTGGACGACTAAGCTACGATGACCTCGTCTCTAAGCATTGGCCTGGATTTGCGAAAAATGGCAAGGAAAACATCACTATTGAATGGGTGATGTCACATATGGTGAGCTGTTTTTTCTATTTCACATGATCCGTCATCAGATCTACTGTGCCGATCCTAGCACTTCTTTCATTCGATTCGTTTTCCTCGCGTTCTTCGTCTACAAAGGTCTTCGAACATTTCGCATGCTGTTTCGGCTGCTGCTTGAGGATTTCGAATTTTTTATAAATGTCATAGAATGTTGATCGAGTAGATTCTCCGTGTAACCTTGGAGGTAGCCGAGCTAAGACGTTCCCATGTGGATTGGAGGTGAGCGTTAGCAAGAGAGTGTCGAACCAGCACGTCAGTTCCTGATAGACTGCATTACTAAACACTACGATCAGAACATGTTCTTTCGATCGGAACGACCATCAAACCTGCGTGTATCGCAGTGCGACTCTAACCATTGCGCTACACTCGCCTCAGCCTAATTTATACAGTGCAGTGTTTCGTTAGATTGATGAGCCTACGCAATCTTGTTATAAAAGTACTAGTATCGAAATATTTGAATTGCGAAACCCATGAAATGCACATTGCATCGAGGAATATCATGGCCGACTTATGTTGCGGCCTTCGTTGAATTCATTGTCGGCCATAGTGTCATGACTTCCTACAAAGTTCGTCTCTAGATTCAACTGCTTGTACCCAGTATTTGAAGTAGTGCATTTGTGAAGTGTGTTTTGCAAAAATCATTGTCATCGTTGCGAACGTTCGCTGATGTCGAGTGATGAATTGATTTTCGATGGGATTCACTCAATATGCAACTGCCAGAGTTAGGTATCAGTGGCGGTGATGATTTTGGATAACATCACACAAATAGCCGTGCTCCTATCCTTTGAATTCCTTGTCTACATGGACTTTATGATCCAACTCTTTCTTCATCTCCTTTCTGAATTGCTTTGTGCTTAGCACAGGTGGTCGATAAATCCTCCGTTAAAACTAGAGATGATTTTACCAAACTTTCTAGCTCATTCTCCTGCAGCACAATTTTGCTCTCCTCTAGTGCACCCTACATACTCTTCCACAGTAAACTGACGTTTCCAACGGTAGCGTAATAATGAAACAATTCGTTTATGTGAGAAACTGCAGAATTCGCCGGGAAGGTGACCGATTTGAAGAAAACAGTGTCTCTTAATTATTGGAATGCTTTAAGTCTTTGTGAATCATCTTTAAAATAAGAAAAAGTTTAACACTTTCGCGACGAGTAACAGCTGTAGCTGTCTTAACGATTTTCCCGAATGGCCCGTGAGGCACCTATAGGTCTCATTTTTTTAGTTTAAAATATAGACCTGTTATCCAAGACTTTTTGCCATCAACTGATAAATTATAGAACACAGATGCTGTGTTTGGCGTTAGTCGGAGTAAGCTCTATTCCGCCTTTACAATTACACAAAAACTGCTTTCCTGACGAGTTCAGTAACCAGAAATTTGGGTGCTAATCGACTACGATTTCATTTTAATTGCTATAAAGGATAAAAGCTCTCGGCCTTGATCAATAGTGTGCAAAACAGCAAAGCAAAGCCGAGAGTTTATCTTCGCCTAGCAAAACAAACATAGGTAAAGGATAAAAAAGGACAAACTCTCGGCTTTGACCAATTCCTGAGGGATGCGCCATGCATTCGACTTCATTAAGCATCTTATGGAGGTGATTGAATGCATATCTGGCCTTTCCAATGACTCACCGTGGCCTACCCGTTGTATCGAGCCAGTGCTGCTGTCTTCAAAGACAAGTCTGCTACCAACACCACGGGCGCGGGGATCGATTCCACGTGTGTGTAACGGGGCACCTCTGACCACTGCGCCACACGCGCCTTTTTATTGCTGTGGTGGACGATATTTAGCATATAGAGTGCGCGGGTATAAAAAGTAATAAGATAAAGTCCCATGAGCTGCAAAACACTTTAAAACGCTGACGATAATGTGGTCGTATGAGACCACAGTAACGTGTTGTAAATCACCAGTATCACCTGTAGTCCCGTTGATCGTCGAGTGACTCGAGCAGGCGCCAGTAAATCTTCCATTTTTCATTGTCGCGTGCAAGAGTAGCCCAACGGGTTGTGCTCGATCTAGGGTCTCATCGAGCATCATATCTATCTTCAAGGCTCTTTGTGAAGAACTCTGACCATCGCGTCGGTGGTCTTCCTGCAGTATTCATACGCATTAGGTATCCGGCCCACCTTATCTTCGAATGTTTGGTGCACAGAACGGCATCCTTGATTTTTGATCGCTGACGCAGGTCGGGACTTCGGATCCCATTACTTACTTCTGTGAAACGGGATACTCCTAGCGTCGTCCTTTCGACTGAGCGTCCCATAACGCCGAGAGAGCTTTCATTCTGTTTACGCAGCGACCAGGTTTCTGAATGGAATCGGGAGTTCTTTGTTCTCTTCACTACATCCTCGATGCTCTTGAAAGCTCCCCAAGCTGCTCGTTTTCTTTTGCTCAGTTCTGGAGCTATGTCATTCATCATGTTGATTTTCCGACCTAGATAGACATAACTGGAGCATTTGGAGATATTTGTTCCGTTGAGCGTGAATGGGACATGCGAAACCAATCCGTTCTTCATGAACATCGTTTTTGTGAGATTTAGTCGAAGACTAATCTTTTCACAGCCTTTATCAAAGTCGTCAAGCATACGTTCCGCTTGGCTAATATTTGGCGTTATAAGAACGGCGTCATCAGCAAGGCGAAGATGGCGTAACTGCCGGCCATCGATTTTCACTCCCATATTATCACATTCGAATGTTACCATGACGTTCTGGAAGGTGTCGGTAAGTAATTTTGGCGAGATGGTTTCGCCTTGCCCGTTTTTTGACGCCAATGCTAATATCGTTGTAGAATGGTGATACCTTGGTTGTGAAATTTTTTTTCAACTCACGAAGATTCTTTATATACTGAGTAGGGACTCCTTCACTATCGAGGGCTCTCCAGACTGCTTCCATCTCATCTGAATCAAAGGCCTTCTGTAAATCGATGAAAGTGAGACAGAGCGGTCTTTTGTCCTCTCGCGATACTTCATTGAGCCGTGTTACCGTGTGGATGTGGTCCATCGTACTAAACCCTTTTCGAAACCCTGCCTGCTCACTTGGCTGTCATTGGTCTAGTGTTCTGTCAATCCTGTCTAGGATTACTCGAGTGAAAAGTTTGTAGACGACAGAGACAGACAGTAAGCAGATTAGGCGATAGTTGCCGATATCGCGTAGGTCACCCTTCTTGAACAATGACACGGTCTTGCTGGTCTTGCACTGAGTACGGACCTTGCATTCAGACAGGTAACGTGTGAAAAACCGAACCAGTGTGTTTACGAGGACTGGCGGAACGTTCTTCAGGTGTTCTGGTTTTATCCTGTCCGGACCTGGTGCTGTTCGGTTTTTCTCCGACGAAATGGCATGGCGGATTTCGGAAGGGTGAACGGTGGTGCAACATATCCATCCTCCTTTATTTCATATGTCAGAAGGTGGACGTGGTTATCGAAGAGATCCGAGTAGTATTCGTGAATGATTTTCTCCATTGCCTTTCTGGACGCTGTAAATGTTCCGTCTTGAAGACGCAAAGCAATCATTTTGGTCTTGTTATTTGTGAAGCTTCGGTGGGTTTTGCGAATGCTTTTCCCAGCCTCTGCAGCTTCCACCATTACTGCTGCTCTTCTCTCTCTTAGATCTTCTTTTATCGCATGTCTGCATTGTTTTGCAAGTTCGGACGTTAGTTCGTGGTTGCCTGCTGCTCGTGAGATTCCACGCTGTCGTATCAGCTCGAGTTTTTCTGGACAGAAACGTCTTTCGGTGACTTTCGATCTCTTCGAACGAACTGAGCTTTCATAGCGCTAACGTGAAGATGTTGAATGAGCCGATTGTATTATTCGTCGATGTTATCGACAACGGCATCTTCCCAATAGCCGACTAATGAGTTGAATGAATCCCAGTTCACGGTGGCTCTGGGACTTCGGTTTTTGAATTTAGCGGCTTTTTCTCCTTTCCGCGAGAAATAGAATCTTGCACGAAGGAGACAATGGTCCGATCCCGTGTAGAATTTTGGGGCAACAGTGACATCGCTTAGGCAGAACCTTCTATTTACTATGATGTGGTCTATTTCGTTATGCTACTCTCCATTGGGAGACTCCCACGTCCAGCGCTGAGAGTGGGGCTTCTGGAATTGCGACTTACCATGAATTGTCTTGGTCGCCATGATATGCTCACCCTGTTCGTTGCATTCTAATCCGTGGGTCCCAATGTGACGCTCTTCAGACGTTCTTCTTGGCCCAATCTTGGCATTGAAAGCTCCAATGATGACATAGAAGAATGCATGGTCTTCTCCGTAAAACTTCTTCAGGGCCATATAGAACACTTCGACATCTTGTTCGTCATAGTTTGATGTTGGCGCGTAAACGACGAAGATTGTCAAAGCCGGAATTGATCCACATAAGTTGTGAATCCGTGTTCATGGACAAACTCGTGTTGACGTGAACTCCGACGCTGCCGACTCCTCTATTGTTGCATGTTCCGAGGAACAGTTCTTCCCCGGTGTCATAGACGGCGTTGAAAGGCTGGCGTCTTCTCGTCTCGGCCAGGTCGATGGCGTCGCACTTTATCCTTCTTGCTTGCATGAGCAAGTCTTCTATCGAGGACTAGGATGCAAGTGGTGCATTATAGGTACAGATCGTCACCATAGTTCTTTGAAATCCAGGTAGCTTCCATTGGCCCTGAGATTTTAGCAGCCTCTCCGTACTCGTCCTACCCAACGCTGCGGAATTGAGGGCACTTTCGTGGTCAGGGGAGTGAGGCCCCTTTCTCTGTTTTAGTTTTTTGATACCCACGTATAGCTGGGCTCTTAACGTGGGGGCTGGGTATACTCACGGGTAGCTTGCCAAGTTCTCCCAGAGTGGACATGGAGCTTATTTGTTGGAGGCGGCTCCTAACCGCCTCCCACATACTTTCCAGTCACTTAATTGCAGGCTTTTTGCCGAATTGACTCGTAGAATACAATCTGCATAAGCAAGAACGCATCCACACACGCATGCATGAATGCGCCTAGCAGATATAGAAAGTATATGCCAGATCGGCGTAGCCGAAACAAGGAGTCAATCCCCTGGATCCACCTGGGTCTCAGGGAAGCAAAGGTCGCTTTTAGTCCGCGATTGACCTCCTTATCCGCCACTTCTGCACGCGCCACGTAGCCTCGCGACTAAGCGGCTCGAGATTCCTCATATGAGGGAGATCCGTAGAACACGTTGTAAATACCATTATAAATGTCATTCATACCTATATAACAACAGAACAACGTCTTTTATACAATCCGTTCACGTTTGAAAGCCGCAAAAACGCAAACGGTTATCCAAAAATTTTTGTTTACTGCCAAAAGATCGGTAAATCCATAGCGCTTGAAAATTAGGCGTCGTCCAGTCTGCAACAAACCCCAGATTAGGCGAAGTTGCGAAAGTGTTAAAAAACGATCTTGGTGAAATGGTTAAATTACAAAGGGTTCCAGTCAGGTCTTCCCTACTTGGATACGATAATCACTGAAGAGATAGCCGTCGACCATAACCTGATGAAAAATGTGCTCGAAGAGGAAAAACCCAAAGTCACACCTGGAATCAGTACTGGCTACCATGCGTTCACCTTTGGATGGTTAGTGGACCAGATTGTGAGACACACTGATGAAAAACAACGTGGAATCGGACAGTTCCTGAGGGAAGAAGTGACTGAGCCAAATGGTTAGCCGAAAGCTTTTTTATTCTTTCGATGATTTATGGGTGCTATTGATTGCAAAAAGAAATAGACAAACAACGTTGGGAGAAGAGAGTGACGAAAATGAAAGATTCCAAATTTAAAAGTAAGGTATTAATATATCTATATGCAATGCGTAAATACTTCTTAGTGCTAAAAATGGCTAATAAATACTACTTTTCGAAAAATACCCTTTCTTTAAGGTGGCTTCCCAGCGATTGTATACATCCCTTTTTAAGTTTTCTCATCCTAATATATTTGCGGCGATATACGTTGATTTCGACTGTGTTTCATCGTTTCTTTTACAGCAAGGTTTTTTCTACTGTAGGTCTTGATTTCAGTAAACAGCTAACTTGCCACAAATACAGACCATAAATTATCCAAGAATAGCTATTCTCTGCACATCACAATTTGTGAAAACAGTTTTTCAATGCGAGTTTGTCTGTGTTCATGAGTCCCATGGCGATTCCATTGCACACTGCTCCGAATTAACGGCGCTTAAATTTTTCACGCTAAGAAAAATACTGACATATCTTTGTATGGCTCCAGTTTGAAAAACCTCTTTTTTTCAGTAAAGTGGTAAACCACTCAGATGGCGTGTCTAGCTGAAAATGTGTCGTACATGGAAAGCCTGGTTTTGGAAACTAGCCAAATAACGACTTTTCCAGTGTAACTTGTTCAGGAATCGACTTTCACATTGGACTTGATCTTTCTCAAGAGTATCGAGTAGCGCGAGTTTCATTACCAAAAATCTTGGACGTGATTAGTGAGGTTTGGTCGGATACGTACATGATTGAACAATTTTTCCACTTCGTCACTTTGGGCAAGGTACGTCATTTCCCAGTAATTCATTTTATCAGCTTAGACTGTAAATTTATTCGTCTTTCTAAAATTACAACATCATGAAAGAAAAATATACAAAACATGCCATACAATTGTGATGAATATGGGTTACCGCAGGCTTTCCAAAATACAACTTCTTGATACTTGATACTTGAATGGCCCGTCGTCACCAGTGGTGCGGGTCTCCAGCATAACCTCCATTTTTCGGAGATTTGCTGGTTAAGCCATTGTGGTTCCCTGAAAATTCGAGGTCAGCCTGGCCAAAATTTGCCTCAGGTCTTGACCACCACGGGTAGTCGCAGCCCTTGTGGATCAGAGGGAGATTTGTCACCATGCGACTTTGATCCCAGAACAGTGGTCGATCCTGGTATTGGTTTACACCTAGCTAGGTTTCCTGATGGAAAAGCCGGACTCGTTCTCAGCTTGGGAGACCATGCAAGTGCGATGAATCCCCCGCTGTACGTCGCTGCCCGATATCCAGGATCACCTCCAGCGGTGATGAGGCGGTAAACCGTTGGGAGGCAAAATACAACACCGAAGACAAAATGAAGGAGATTGGAGGCTTTTTAGAAATAATTTTCGACGAAATCTCTGCATCTTTTTGTGTGGTCCATCAGTGCTACTTTTAGAAATCTGTAAGATCGAAATGATGGCTTTGATTTAAAAAGGGACAATCAAAAGTATAGATTTTTTAAGAAGATTAAACCCTTTATGACTCATTGATGCTTTATTTCCGAAAACTTATCAATCACCAAGTTTCTAGTTGAAGAAAAAATTCCCGAAATCGACTTAGCATAGGAGCATAGGGTTACATTTGCACCGATTCCAATTTTTTTCGCTTATAAGAAATAGTCCTCTTCAATAGTTTAAGCCTCATAGCAGCAAGAAGTGTTCTTAGATGTCAGCCTACTATGCACAACAACAGTTCATCACCCATCAGCATTACCTCAATGGAGGAATTTGACATTTCTATGCGACGGAAGGGTCCTACAAGTTTCTTTTTCACAAAATGTGGAAGTAAAAGCTCACTCGTAAAAAAGTTTGGTGTTCTCATGTAGCCAAAGAAAGTCCGGTGAGGAACTTTAGAGTGCGCTGGTTACGAGTGGAGCCCTTAGTAGTGTTTGCCTCGATGATTAACAAAATACTACGGACCTGCTTAGTTCCCGATAAAAGACGATAGTTCTCCGACAGTGGTAGCGACCTCGTTCATTACGCAGGCTGTCAAACCTACCCAGACGCTGGGTCGACACGGCTTTGTGGTAACCAAACCTCTCATCCACCCAGTGTCGGGAAACTGGTACCAACAATCGGACTTACCCTCATCAGCGTGGGAACGCCCCATCACGGCTGTCTCAGAATTCCAGAGGACATCGGCTTATCCAGCATTCAAAGCTATTCGTGATGAAGACGAAAAAAGCTTCAAGCAGCAGCCGAAGCCACATACGAAAGAAAAGTTCGACCGCCAACGTGGATGGTGAGTACGGGGTTTGAATGCAAGAAATTTTGGGATCCGCGCTGTGTGATAAATGTGATGTTAGGTCATGTAGTAACATGTGGTGTTCGTAAAGGCTTCCGACAACTAGAAGACTTGAAGGGTTGCTAACATGACCCGTTTGTAGAAAAGACTTTCCACGAATCGCTTTATAAATAGGTGTCAAAGTACGTGTGCTGTAATTTACTACGTATTCATATGGTCTGTCACATAAACACATTGCTGCCAGCATTTAGAAGTGTTTTGAAGCTTGCATTGAGCTTATTTCTGTATTTTTTATACTAAGCTGTTTCATACGATAAAAAAGGGTAAAGCTCTCGCGTTGATCAATCTCTGAAGGATGCGTCACACATTCGACTCCATTAATCATCGTTAGAGGCGATTGAATGCATATATGGCCTTTTACAATGCCTCGCGGTGGCCTACCGATCTACCGAGCTAGTACTGCTGTCCTCCCAGACAAGTCTGGTACCAATTTGCCGATTCCGGAGGGATGGAGGGCTTGGTGAGCCTGTGCTGCGGATCCGATCCCATAGGTATTGCAGAGCGCCTGTGAGCACTGCGTCACATGTGCCCCATAATAATTTCATATGATAACTGTGATTTATCATAATGAGTATAGCTGAAATAATAATCAAGTCAATGGACTCCTTCGAAAAAGGTGCTTTATACGTTTTTGAGTATACAATTGAGCTCTTCCCAACCAACGCTCACACAACATTTATTTTGGGTAGGTTATCGATTAGTTACAAGAGGTGTAGGAAAAGGATTCTGTTCCTTAAAATATCGGGAAGAAAAAGACGTCCGTACAACTCAGACCAGCCACAATGTTCGCATATGACCTCCGTACGTCATTGCGAGTATGTTGAGGGCGGTGCAATTAATGGAATAGTCGATCGTTTCGAATAACTAGTTAATGCGATTTCATTTTCAAAATTTGACTACATTTTCATTCAGTCATTCATTGTTCATTCATTCCACCGTGATGCTGAGCCTCAAATAGATGTTGTCAATTGAGAAATATTTTGAATTTTACCAGCTGCCTTCATTAAGTTGACTCGTGGTTGTTGTTGTTATGAGTCGATGGTTGACGTTTATGAAACGGTTATGCCGAGGTTTATAAAAAATCGGTTTTTAAGTTACTACGAACTTCTCCTAGAAAGAAAGAAAAATGATTATTAATGGAGCTTCATGAGAAATTGGTATCACCATTTCATAATTAGAAAAAGTGTTTTTAATAATATTTTCTCTAAAAGTACAAATTGCCTGCTCAGTAAGGACCCACTTGATCAAGAAGGCACGAAAAGTATCATAAATTCATGCAATCTCCCTTTTTATAGATATTGGAGAGAAGATGACCCTGGTAGCTGACTTGGCTTCGTCGTGGCATGGGTTCCTCTTACCTGGGCATCTTAATTTTTTTTTACATCACTTACATACATAGTTTGGTTCCCAGCACTTCTAGCATTCGATTCATTTCCTTGTATCTGTCATGAACAGAGGTTCTCCAGCTTTCTGTTGTGCTTTCAGCCGCTGCGCAAGGATTTTCTTTCGCTATGGATGTCAATGAATGTTGGTCAAGTCAGTTCTCAGCGGACTTCTGAGATCGCCGAACTAGAGCGTTCCAACTTGCATTGCAGCGAATGACCTTTTCCCTGAAATCTTGGTACCAATTTCATGAACCAGGAGGGATGAGAGGTTTTGTGAGCATGGTATGAGGTCAAATCAGCACCATGCTCGTGGTAATCGGCATCAAGACCACTGCGTTATCCGTTCCGGCAACTGGATTAGAGATGTTGAGTTCCTCCTCAGCTTGGGACACCACTTTGCCGATGAACACTCTCTATATAGCACACTGTGAGGCACTTTTGTCACGATCACGCCAGAAACCAGTGAACAGAAGATAGGAGTACAGACAAAAGTTTCAAAAATAGTCCTATAAAGAAAAAATAATGAAAAAAATGGAAAACTCCGTAAAGCCACCATGGCCTATGAAATAGGGTTGAAAAATGATGCGATGAAAATAATCGAACGCCATTGGAGGTTTTCTTTTACAGTTATTAACAATCTGTGGTTCAGAATAGCGCATTCCATCGAGCGGCCAACAATCCGTCATGGATCAATGTGCTCTTCAAGTGTACGGTGAATAATCCAGAACAACACGCAATGGAACAGGCGGCCGCTCTCGGCATCGGAAACGCCCGTTCACTTGCCACCATGTTCAACCTGGTTGGCTTAATTTGTACAAGGTCCCTCTAGAAAGGAAAAAATTGGGATTCTCATCCATTTGTAGCTTTTTTTCTCCTAACAGTTTTACAGTATATGGTGGCCTAGTGCACTGTGCATCATACATGTCGCTTACTTACACGATAAAAGAAAAGTTGATCAACGTGTACTTAACTCCATTCGTTGTATTCTAAGGTGATTGAACGCGTATTTGGCCTAAATAGACTTACAAGGGCCAGCCGCTGTATTGAACTAGTGTTTTTAGCCTCATAGAAAAGTCGCGTACAAATTTGCTGACTCCGAAAGGATGTGGAATTAGTCTGCCATTGGCTCGGGATCGAACCGATGGCTGTATGTATATTGTTAAACACCTAAACCACTACACTACAGCTGACTAACTCTCACATATATGATCACCGCTTCTAGCAGTGTAAAAAGCCTGTTTGTGCAGTCATTAGTAAACCGAGTATGAATAAGTGATTTAAGTGGTGTTCCACCCTTTTGTCATTACTTACACTTTCATTTAAGTGAAGAGATAAACGTTCCTATGTTTTCCATTCATTCTTTGCTCATTCTTGTTCATTTGGTCAGTGAAAGTTTCCCATTTACTTATTTTCTATTTTTGTAAGCTTCTACCTTTTTCCTTTTGAACACTTTAACCAAAACTTTTCAGCTTGTTACCGGTCACCTTGTCAGCGAGAAAACACTTGCAATTCTTCAGAAACCGGTTATCAACGGAACGGATTACGTTATAAATGTTCCTGTGGCTAAAGGCCATGGTTTTCTCTACGTTCCTATACCACAAGCGAAAGTAAGTCATTACATTATTAAAGCATTTGCGTAAGCCACTCCCAGAGTATAGTAACGAAACTAGAATGAATGGAACTGTATAAAGCCACTGGGATGGAGTGAGAAAAGAGATAGCTAGGAAATAAAAGAAAAGGAAAGGAAAAAAATTGTGTGAGCGAAGTGCTCCTTTGGTTATTGGACATACTGTGAAGCAACGAAATATGAAAAGGAACTGGTAGTGAGCGAAACCTGCTTGAGGCATAAATAGTGCGCTAAACCTGTTAGGAGTAAAGATTGTTTGGTTTGTATTCGTTCCCAGTGAAGTTTTCTTGCTAAAAAAAATAAGCGACATGTCCATTCGTGCTTGTCGCGTCCCGTAGCTATCCAATGGGCGCCGTCTGCAAAACGAATGGGTAGTGGATCGCACTTTTCCAGTGAGGTCCTCACTTTTATAAGACACCCACCAAAATCTGCTATGGTAGAGGTTTACCCTTAACTGGCCATCCGGACGCCAATCACGAACTCTGAATCATCGTCATCAGTCTACACCTACTGTTAGGTGCTCAATCACCATTTTTATTATTAGTCAATTCATACAAATGGTAATAATATTCTTAACTTTCAGGATAGCATTCTAATCATCCATCCCGGCAATGGGTGTCAACAAATCTCGTTCGACATCCATAATCAAATTGTTGTCTCTTATGTGACAAACGGATTAAAAGTCGGTAACTTCGACCATTGTCGAAACTACAAACGTATTCATTACGCCATTTATGATGCACTGGAACTAAAGGAAGCGTGACTTTCTCAAGAAGTTCTGCTTCTGCTATGCGATCAACCAATCGTTCAGTGGCACTACCTCGCTGATCATCTCAATGTATTTATACTGTACTTTGATTGACTTTTCAGATGTTACGAATTCACTCATGCTTTTTGAAGAGAATCTTTAGGGATTATTTATCAGAGAAGATAGCTGTAGACTTTTGTATACCAGCACAGATTGAAGTATGCTTGGCTACTGAGATGTTCTACGAGCATTAGCACAATTTCCCGTTCTTTTCGATGTTCTGGCATAGCTGTTCCACGGCTTTCCCAAGTCCTTACCTCAGTTATTGTCATCAATGCTCCAATCCTTGTGGTTCAGACAAAAAATTTCGCTCTTGCCACCAATTTTCTGACATGATAGCGACTGTTCCCAGCTTTGAATAATCCCTCTTGGGCTTTCAGATGACAACATCTAACTTCCTTTACGGCCTTATAAATCTGCTGGGTGTTGAATTCCCCATTAAACATTGTAGTTCGATAATCAGGAACACCTCACGATGAACGCTGAAACGGTAAATTACATAGACGAAGTGTACGTATAATGTCATTGTAGATATTGTACATGAATGAGTTTTTACGATGAACGTTTTCCATCACTCAAATCCACCTACTTCTCAGAGAAGCGAAGGTCGCTTTTCATCCCCAATTAACCCCTTGTAAGCCACCTTAGGACTCGCCACGTGGCCTCGCAACTAACCGGCATTCGATCCCTTTATCAGAGAGATCCGTAGGACGAGAATAACGCGAAAAAGGCGCTAAACAGAAAAAGATGAGCACCATAACCGCATTGGAGCCTATCTGATAAGCCAACTAACGCACCCAAAATTCCGCGCTCACCCATTCGATTCAACAGTCCTTCTAGCGCTTTGTTATGCAGAAATGTTGGCTGATACTTTAACCATGTCGACAACTCTGCCCATCACCCAAAAACCGCTTGAACGATATCTTCTGAAATATAAGCGACACTCACAAAATCAAGCTGACTGGCGAAGCTCAGATCTTTATCTCCGAGAGCCAGGACACTACACATTGATGTTGAAACATAGATGGACCGATAATATAAAGAGAAGAAAAGGTGACTTATGGACTAAACAGTGGAACGGACTCCAGTGGATGCAAACTGGCACCATCTAAATGATTGCCTGATTTGTCTGTAACCAAAATCAATTAGCTACACTCGAAACTGCAAATATTTTCCAGATCACGGTATGAGACTTGCGCGCGCCATGTATGCACGAGAAAGAAACGAGTGGAAAACGTGTTGGGGAGAGACTACCGGTAAAGAGGACTCATCTAAGTATCGAAGAAAGTAATTTTAAATTTGAGTTTTACCTTCCTAAAGGGTTTTTATCCATTACAGTGACGGTTTAGGACAACATTTTTTCCACGCTCTGTAGCTGAATCAAATAAATAAATTACACCCACATCCACCTTAGACAAGGGCGTCATGTGAGCGCATAACCTCATATTGCGTGCTGAGGCGTTCCAGTCTTGAAAAATTTAAATGTTCAACGAGGCTCTCATTCTCCAGCGGTCGCCAATATAGTAAAGCGAGTTCGATTTTCTCATTCGGTACCTTCCCTAATCATGTAAAAAAACTATATGAAAACGAATAACTGAAATTTCATCGCACTGCTATTCCCATAATTTTGTGAGCCGATCCTACTTGGAAAGTAGAGGGCGATTACGAAAAGAAAATTGTCTCTAGAAAGAGACTGTGAAGAAAAACAATTAGCTCTATATATATTGAATACGATGCTCAGTTGGAAGCCTTCAGGACGACGCTACAAAACTATATCGACAAGTTTGAAGTGATTCTATGAACAGAAACTGAGGAACAGAGACCGTTATTCCCTGTTCTTCAGTTTGTGTTTCTGTAGTGATCAACAACATCACTGGTAGATGAGGATGACCCGTGGATAGGTAAAAAGTAGACAACGACCAATTCTCGCCACTTCACCCGTTTGTTCTTCTTTTTTACCAGCAATAAAACTTATGGCTTCAATTTCAAAAGCTTTTATTTACTGTCGTCAGTGCAATCAACGACGCTTTGTCTAATATGGTCTGTCGGACCGATTACCGAAGCACAACTATTAGATAGCGGTCACTGTTGTGACAACGAACCACATTAATTCTCACTTTCCATCCTTTGATGGCAGAGTTGTTTAAGACGCAATTTTCAGACAGCTTCACTTTGACTCTGGAACGATGTCGTTGTTTTGAAGACGTTTTTCCAAGAAGTTCATTCCAGACAATGTCTGCAAGATCACTACTTGTATTTCAATATTATTTTAAACGTAGTTGGGTCCACGTTTACCGCCAAACCTTTCGAACGAGGTTTGCCTGAGTATGTAAACGTACATGCTGTAAACACAACGAAAGACTCTTTAACCAGTCAGTCGCGCCATTGGGGACAGTTGCCACCATGGCCGACAAATGGTCGCAAAGCAACACACCTCTCTGATTCACGAGGATTGACGACCACATGTGGCGAAGATTCGGGAACAACTTCAGAGTACCTCTGCCATCAGAACTCCAGAAATAAAAAAAACTTCCTCAACCGGCAAAGTACCAGTCAGTTAAAGTTAGCTGATGCTTACAAAACAATTATTAAGTAACCAGACTTTTAGCGCATAAAATGATAACACTACATCAATATGAGCTAGCACGCAGAAAACTAATATAATTAACTAACTACCTGTTTTGATAAATAATCTGAATAGATTCCCGAGCACAAAACGATTCACAACATACAACAAGTCAATCAAAAACAAAGTTGAAATCATTCAGAAAGCTAGGGGAGTGGTGACATACAAAAATTGGTTGCTGAGCTAGTAGGAGAACAACTTGAAAGGACCATGATTGCTTCGGCTTCACTCATTTACTTGACTTCTCGAGAACATCGTAAACGGTCTTATGAATTCGCCAGTAATTTCGGCAATTATCGAAGTGACCCATTTTTAGTGCATTTGTCACATAAGCGATGACAACTTGTCTATGGATGTCGAATGTGACTTGTTGACACCCATGACCGGAATGATGAACCAGTCGACTGTCCTGAATGGCCAAAATATTACTCGGAATCACACAGTTTTACTTTTCTCATAATTTGTATTACTGGTAATAATATTATCCCACCACTCAGGGTAGTCCGTACGTTATCGTAGCTTAAAGAAAATGTCGCACTATGATGTAAAGGAGCGTTGATTCCTGAGAAAAAGGAACTTCTAAGCTGAGGACCTCGAGCTTTTCATCCGGAAACTCAGCTAGTAGTTAACCTATGCCGAGGTAGAGTTTCGCGAAGCACTCGAAGACAACGTTTTACTACAACCAATAGTTGTGTCTCTTTCGCAAGTAGTTCTTAATGGATAAAAGCTGCATAGAGTGTCAGAGAGCAATGAAGGTTATAACGTTCAGTTTAGAAAGATAATTCCATTAAAACAAGCTGTATTGTTAGCCAAACGACTTTTTAGTTTAAAAAGTCCTATTATAATCACATAATAATACCAATAGATAGTCTTCAAAAAAAATTAGCTAGAAAATGACGTCAATCTTTCATATTTAGATGACTAACTGTAAGTTTTAAAAGAACAAATATTATAACCATCACCTCTACTAAAGAGGTTAGACACTTATCTCTTTCGAAACTCCATCGTTTCGAGTTCCTTTAGAAAACTCAGCAAACGTAATTATTATAGCAAGAACGGAACGCTAAAAAATAAAGCCCTCGGCGTTTATCAATCCCTGAGGGATGCGCCATGCATTCGAATTTATTAAATATCGTTGGAGGTGATTGAAGACATATCTGGCCTTTACAATTACTCGCGGTGGCTTACCGATGTATCGAGCCAGTGCTGCTATCCTCACAGACAAATCTGGTACCAATTTGCCGACCCCGGAGGGATGGAAGGCTTGGTGGGCCATGGGCTCGGGGATCGATTCCATGTGTGTGTCGCAGTGGCGCCTCCAACCACTGCGCCACATAGAACGTTACACACATTAAAATGGGTCATCCACACTTAACTTCCTAGAGAAAACCCACTTAAATACATTTAGAGAAATCTTCTGCTTTCTACCCTGTCTCCTAAGCTGTGGACATCAAATTTTGCTTCTCCTCACTATTTAATAAGTGGGAAAAGAAAAAAACCCAGAAAATTGTGATTGACCGCTTGTGTGTATAAGATTCCATTCAACGCAGTCTTAGATTTCGTATTTAAAAGGATTTTGTAAAATGTCTCAAGTTTAAAACAGACCGGAAAGAAAGATGATTCCAAAAATCACCAAGAATCAGGATTTCTCAGACTCAAGACTTTAGGACGCTAAAAAATCGTGTATCTTTTCCGTTTTCGTCCCTTTAAAAACTTTTTCCTTTCGTGCAAGCATGGTTTTTTGGCGCCTCCTTTATTTCTCTCGCATTATTTTCCGTTTCCAATGTTATCCTTTGAGTGCGTAGTTTTCGAAATGTATGAATAACGTGACTTACTTCCTCTCGTTCTATAGGAGCATAGAAAAATCCATGGCCTTTAGCCATCTGCGCGTTTACCACGTAATCTGTTTCGTTGACAACCGGTTTTTCAAGAAAAGAGAGCATTTTCTCGCTGACAAGTTGACCAGTGACGAGCTGAAATATTCTGGCTAAAGACACTAAGAACAAAAAGGTCAAAACTCTGAACGAATGAAGGATAAATAACCAAACGGAAAAATTTTGGTAAGTACTCCACACTACAAAGTTAATTAAAGAGTATAAACAAATTCCCTCAATTTATTCTCCTAAATGAGAGTGGGGTTAGCAAGCTTAGAGTGGCAAACAATTAGCTATAGAATTAAAGGTTGCTGGAACACTAACGTTCGATTTGTAACGTCACTAAAAGAATGAAGGATAAAGCTCTAGGCCTTGACCAATCCCTGAGGGATGCGTCATGCATTCGACTTCATTAAGCATCGTTTGGAGGTGATTGAATGCGTATATGGTCTTTACAATGTCTCGTGGTGGCCTAATGATTTATCGAGCCAGTGCTGTTATCCTTCCAGACAAATCTGGCACCAATTTTCCGACTCTGGAGGGATGGAGGGCATGCCTGGGCCGCTACAATCGATTCCACGTGTGTGTAGCAGGGCGCCTCCGACGATTACGCTACACGCGCGTATAACTACAGTGGAGGCAAAAACAAGTACAACTACAAGGATGCTGAGATTTGAGCAAAACACGGAACCTCACATGGGCTTCGAACCCGCCTATACCATCTCCAGAGTTCACGTGATATCCATTACACCAACTTAGGTCATTATTTCGCCTTTCTCCCAATTAGTTTTTTAACCTAACGGTACTATAAGCAATCATCTGTTAACGGGAATGACCTGGTGAGCATAAATCGGCACTGGATCCAGTTAAGCTAAGCTGCAGTAGAAATCCCAATGTCCCAAATTTAACAGGAAAACGTCGTGCAGGCAGAAGGAATCATTTCTCCGTTCGTACTATGAAATGTGGAGATAGACCATTCCATGATAACCGGCGACAACCGGCAAGCGGTTTCACTGTGATGAAGTTACGCAGCACCTCTCAAAGTTGAAGTCGAACCAAAACAAGATCATGCTAACCATCCCGCAATTTACCGCTGTTTGATCCTCCACAATTTACTGAATTGGGGTGAAACCACTACACTCAACAAAAAGAGACCACACCACCATAACGTACGGCTACATGCCGCATTCATGACGCTGCAGAAGTTGAACGAGCGGCTACGAAAATTTGTATAACACCATACCCGCCAGTCTTCTAGCCAACCGAATACCCATTCCTCAACGAACTCGACAAGCTCCTGTACGAGAAATACTTCAGCTGCCAAACAGGTCAAAACTGTTTTCAAGGACTCCATCTCCTCTAAAACTCTGGAATTTTTAGCCATCAAAATAAACAAACTATTTCTTATATGCAAAACCCAGTAAATTCTAGTCGTTTCTAGTTAAATTGATAAAGTTTGTTCCGGGCTAAGAAATGCCACTTTGGATAAATATTTGGACTCACTTTCGGTTAACCTCGGCATTGATTGATAATTCAGTGTTTTTCTTCAATAAGCAGACACAAGGTTGTTATTATAGAATTTATTAGGATACAATAGCTGACGTTTCGGCGGTTTCGCCTTCTTAAGCGCTTGGAAAGGTCAAATTGAGATGCGATCTACTCAGCCCAACACATTCATAACTCTAGCATATAAAACTTAACAAATAATTTTGTATTCGTATAAGAAACAGCTTTATTCAAATACCTACCGTTTATTTGTTGTAAGTGTTAGGATACGATAGCAGGATGTAAGGATAGCAGCCGCAAGGAGTAACACATGGGTGATAACTGTGTCTGTGTCATGTCATTGGACCAGCCTGAAGTATGGCGCAAGGTCACGCGTGATAACAAGACACTCCTCCTTGCAGTCCATTTTTAAATTTTTGGAATTGATCCAAAACGCTTCAAAAGTTTTACGCGCTGATGTTTTCGATTTGTGCGTGAGGATAGTGACTCCTACTTCAAAACCTTCTCCGTTGTTTTCCTGCATCCTATACGCGCCTTGGAGCGTTTGGTTTTAATTTAGATTTACCGACTAGGTGTTCTTTTATGCTGACGCAGAGCGGTCTACCCGTTTCGCCAACGTATTCGTCCCCGCACGCTTTACAAGAGGTCAGAAAGACTGTACCCGAACTCGTGCAATCACCGTCTATACCGTTAGGGCAAATTATGCAGTTTTTCGTTATACATAGACAGTTATATAGCCGGTTGCGAACTAGCTGGCGTTTTAGAGTGTCCGATGGCATTTCTATCACTCTTACGGAATTCTCTAGACCGGCCCTTATTAAGCAACGTTTTATAGCTGCACTTATTTCGTTTGAAATAAAGGGTAACAGGAACGGGGCCTTGTTTTCGCTAGAATTATCGCTCTGGGGCGTGGGATTTCCTCTACACCTATGCCGAGAAGCTACAGTTTCGTAACCATTTGAAATGGCTATTTGGGGCGTCAATTTCGGCGATTCTTCACTCTGATCGCTACCTGTGCACACGCTGGCACCAGTTCGAAACATATTTCTTATAAGCGCCCTTTTAGTGTGTGAGGGATGAGAGGAGAGGTAATGAATCACTACATTCTTACTGCTTGGCTTTCGATACCGTTTTGTGTTGTAGGCGTTTTTGAATAGGTTGATTTGAACGTTTAGAAATGGAAGCCAATTTTTAATAACCTCATGTCTGCCTATTGAACAAAAAGATCGAATTATCAATCAATGGTGAGGTTAACAGAAAGTCGGTCTTGGGAATTGCTACGTGAAGTGCCAGCAGAATATTTGCGACTTGTAAAAGAAGTCCTGTCACTAAGACAAAAATCTGTCTTAGCTAGACAGACGATACCCTTCCTCCGCCGCTAACTGAAACACCAAGTCGTGCCAAACTTCATCAAACGAAAACGACTACACGATGTATGCGACCTGCCCATAGACAGCCAACTAGTACTGGACATCGAAACGCGACTACTACGCGCCTCTCTTCGATGCAAACAGGACACCATGTACGCGCAATTGAAGAAGTGCAAGTCGTAGTAATCTTACTGTGTTCAGTATTTGGAGGATTCCCTTTGGAGGAGAATAGTGAGTGGGTTATTTCTGATTTGCTGTTCTATTAGGTCGAATGCTAAAGTAACCTTAAGCAAAAATTTCGAAATTTACTAGATCATTCGCAAAAACCAGCTTCAATTAAACAAAGCAAAATCGTTTACGAAAGCGCTAGCACTAAAAATGTGGTCGCTAACGTGCCTCAAAAGTTAAGGGTCACCGTGTTAGGAGGCATAACTCTGCCTGATGACGCGCGCTCGCTATTAGAATTGGATCCAAGTTTCTCACCAGCGCAATCCATTTTTAAAGAAACCTTGCATAGGATCGCGTGCAGCCTGCACGAGCTCCAAGATCGACTCCGAAGCAATGTTAATATTCGCTGATGATCTGGCATCCACCGACCCCTCCACCTTTAAAGTTAGACCCATCATCAGTTGTGTAGACGGGTCTACGGATAGAATTGCTTGGTTTATAAACCTAAACCTCAACCAGTTGCTTAAGCACATACCAGCCCATCTCACGAACACACGTGTTCCTAGACCGTCTGCGCAACGCACGTTCCAAAAGCGCGTGCGTTATGTACTCGTTCGATGTTACCGCCCTTTACACTAACGTGCCGAACGACTCCGCAATGCAAACCATCCGCGAGCTTCTTGAGCAACACGAAGGAACAACTAACATGTATGGCCTTTCGATTCAGCAGCTTATGGTCCTCTTAAAGGTCTATTTAAACTGCTCGATCTTCAGATGGTCCGAGAAATATTACACGCAAATTAGAGGGTTGGCAATGGGACAGCGACTGGCACCAACCCTAGCCGTTGCCTTTATGTCTAACGTGGAAGCACCAGTAATCGATCTCAGGCCATTACTCTACTGAAGGCATACAGATGATTGTTTTGTCATCTGTTCCACACAAGAGGAGATGGACAAATGCTTTGAGTTATTGAACGAACAGTCAGAGTACATAAAATTCACCTGTGAGAAGCCGAAAGAAAACTGGCTTCCATTTCTAAACGTTCAAATCAACCTATCCAAAAACGCCTACAACACAAAACGGTATCAAAAGCCAAGCAGTAAGAATATAGTGATTCATTACCTCTCCTCTCATCCCTCACACACTAAAAGGGCGCTTATAAGAAATATTTTTCGAACTGGCGCCAGCGTGTGCAAAGGTAGCGATCAGAGTGAAGAATCGCCGAAATTGACGCCCCAAATAGCCATTTCAAATGGTTACGAAACTGTAGCTTCTCGGCATAGGTGTAGAGGAAATCCCACGCCCCAGAGCGATAATTCTAGCGAAAACAAGGCCCCGTTCCTGTTACCCTTTATTTCAAACGAAATAAGTGCAGCTATAAAACGTTGCTTAATAAGGGCCGGTCTAGAGAATTCCGTAAGAGTGATAGAAATGCCACCGGACACTCTAAAACGCCGGCTAGTTCGCAACCGCCTATATAACTGTCTATGTATAACGAAAAACTGCATAATTTGCCCTAACGGTATAGACGGTGATTGCACGAGTTCGGGTACAGTCTTTCTGACCTCTTGTAAAGCGTGCGGGGACGAATACGTTGGCGAAACGGGTAGACCGCTCTGCGTCAGCATAAAAGAACACCTAGTCGGTAAATCTAAATTAAAACCAAACGCTCCACTAGGCGCGTATAAGATGCAGGAAAACAACGGAGAAGGTTTTGAAGTAGGAGTCACTATCCTCACGCACGAATCGAAAACATCAGCGCGTAAAACTTTTGAAGCGTTTTGGATCAATTCCAAAAATTTAAAAATGAACTGCAATAAGTGTCTTGTTATCACGCGTGACCTGGCGCCACACTTCAGGCTGGTCCAATGACATGACACAGACACAGTTATCACCCATGTGTTACTCCTTGCGGCTGCTCCACTTCTCCCAAATTGTAAACGTCCGATGCGGGTTCTTAGTTGTTCGAATGGCCAAGCTCGTGCTGACGAGAATGCCGCTGTCGCATGCTCCGAGGGCCTATTTTCGGCGTCCTAGACAGCGTTGAATAGTCGCGTCTCCTCGTCCCAACTAGTGCGGTCCGATAACGTCGCATCGTCTCGTTCTTGCCTTCGTGATCAGGTCCTTTATCGAAAACTCAAATATAAACGTGCGTGCATTGTAGGTACCGACTGCGTCCTCACTTCCTCGCGATTCAGGCAGCTTAGAAAGTCCCTGCGACTTTAGCAACCTCTAATTTCAGTGTCTTATTTCTATAATAGTCGTGATCTTCATATTTTTCGGATGGTAGCAGTAGAATAACATTAAGAAGTGAAAATTCAGGGTTTTTCAGAAGCAATTTTCAAAAGTCCACTATTGTGGATGATTATTTCAATTTTAAACAAACATGTGACCGTGATGTGACAACCAGCGAAACAGTCAATATTTCTGTCCTTCATGGATTAAATACTAAACTGATATATCACTGAAGGAAGTTCGTGAATGCCTGAGAGGTCAAAATAGATCGAAGTCGATTTTGAAGGTCGACTAACAGCAGGACTCACGTCAATGCGTCACAGCTGTCGTCCGAGAAGAATTAGGGTGATAAGAATGCAGACTTTTGTCCAATCCATAAAGGCCAGCAATGACTTTTGAAGACTTCAGAATGCTCTCTCATAGTTATCGCCGGATTCCAGAAGAAATCATGCTCGACTAACATTCGTTGTTTCATCAAGAGGAGAAGGTGAAAAAAACCCCTCAAATCGCATCCGAACAAACGCATAAACCAAACGAGCTCTATGCGCGATAACTTCAAATAAACAAAATAATGGAAAAAGTCCTACCAGTATAAAATGTGAAAAGAGATTATCTAACTACCAAAGTAGGTAATTTTGTTTGACAGCGAAAATCAAACTTGGGTTAAAAAAGAAGGAAAAAAAACGGCGAACGGATAAAAAGCTGTTGCTTTTTTCTCATGGGAAAATACGCAAATAAAGCTAACCAGGTTGAATATGGATCCAAGTGAGCGGGCGTTGCCGATACCGAAAGCGGCTGCCTGCTCCATTGCATGTTGTTCGGGATTATTCGCTGTACACTTGTTCCACAGATCGATCCACGGTGGATTTCCTATCGCTCGATTAAAGGCACTATTCTGAACTAAATTTTATTGAAAATCGAAAGTGAACACTTAAAGGTATTTAAATGACATACCCATCCCATATTAAAGCTAAAGCCTACAACGAATATTGTCAAATTAATAAAGAATAGAGGATAAATTGTCTTATGGTTCTAAATTCTTCGGGAATGCCGTGCATTTGTCTCTATTAAGCATTGTGAAGGTGAATGAGAGCATGTTTCGCCTTGAAATGACTTAAAGGAGCTTTTCGATGCGTTATTTCTATCTGTATTCCCTCAGAAAAGCTTCTTGTCAATTTGACGACCCCGAAGGACTGGAGAGCATCGACTCGTTCAGGACAAGGTAGGACTGTACTTCTCTGAAGACAAGACGAGAACAGTTCATCTAAGATGTTTCCTATCTTCGCTATACTTTGTGATAAGAGAACCATGGACAGCTCAAGGAACTCCATGGCATCGTAAGTGACACTGCGCCTCCGATGTTGTACGTAGAGGTAAAGAGCGCATATAGCGCAGTAGGTAGTGTTGTTCTGCAATACACACGGAATCAGTGATCGGTTCGAAACCGCAGACAAACCATATCAAGCCTTTCTCCCTCCGTCGTAAACAAGTATCACATTGCAAGTGCCTGGTGAGTTCGAACGACGGGGGAAGCCTTAGAGATGATCAACGCTGTACTCTTTTTCAACGTTGAATGCCCTACAGCCTGAACTTGAAAAACGTTTCCAGTCTATCTCCTAATCCTGTCAGATCTGTATAGTTTGGATATTCAGCTTTTCTTTTGGGGTATTCTATTAAAGGAATCAGCAAAAACAGCTTAAGCACAACCAGAATGACCCTGACACATCTGCAAAACTCAGAACCCCAGGTCAGCTTCGAACCCACGACTACTGCTTCCGGTTGCTCAAGTGTTACCCACTGCACCACCCAAATCCCTGCTTTGTCTTCCTATATATATATATGTATATATATATATGTATATGTATATATATACATATGTATATATATACATATATATATGTATATATATTACATAAATTTCAGAATAACTGCAGTTGTACTTCACATAACACCTTGCCACGAAAAAATAATAAGCGGTAAATAAAAAGTTAAACAAAGTTTAAGTAGTTATAAAGATCTGATGGGAGAACCCGCACCTTATTCGAAGTCATGAAGTGAAAAAATCTTAAAAGCACGTGTGTACTGGACCACATCTCACTGATTAGGTCCATGGTTCCAGGCAATGAAATCCGCGCTACTCGATAATCTTGGGAAAGATTAAGACCAATATGAAAGTCGATCCCTGAATAGGATAAACTAAAGATATGGATATTTTCACACATCAACAAAACCGGAGCATACATATATGGTAGGTCTTCATCTATATATGCCTTTCAAATAGTTTATCACCTCATTTTGGTAAGGAGGTACTCCAAACTATCGGATTTTGACGCAAAAGTACAGCATAGATATTGTATTGAACTCCTAAACATCAAAAGTCTCTGTAACACTCCGCCTACAAAGTGAGAAAGAAAATCGCAGTGGATCTCAAGGTGTTTGAATGGAAAATGCAAAAAATGAGTAGAACTAGCTCGCTAGGTATAATGCAACTAATAACTAGCCAAGAAAAGCAGTTTTTCATGAGAAAAACGGAGAGGGACAAAAACGCCCACAACTCCATCTAATTTAGAACCTTTTAACTCTCAAAAAGATATTTTGAGAAAAAGATGAGCCATTAGAATTTCAAAAATCCCATATGACACCGAATGACTTAAAACGCGCATAAAATCGGGACTAGAAATCGATATCCATCGATTTAACGCGATTAAAAATGATGTTGATTTCTGTGTTGTATTCCATGGCCGTTATATTTACTGTCACGTTGTTAGACATTGTTAGTAGAGACGCGACTTTCGTTTAGGCACGCAATTCGTCATTTGTATCTTCCTGCATTCTCAACATTCACTACTGATTTTTTCGTATTAAGCATTCCAAACTAATAAAATACAATAAAAACGTTCTAGCTGACCGTTTGGTCCAGTGACTTCTTCCCTCAGGAACTGTCCGATACCACGTCGTTTATCGTCGGTGTGTCTCACGATCTGGTCAACCAACCATCCATAGGTGAGTGTATGGTAACCGCTACTGATCCCAGGTGTGAATTTTGGTTTTTCCTCTTCGAGCACCTTTCTCATGAGGTGATGGTCGGCGGCCATATCCTCAGTGATTATCGTATCCAAGTACGGAAGACCTGACTGTAAATGGCTCCATGTGTTTTAAACACTTCATTAAGACGGTTTTTCGAAGACCATTCTTTTAATCTTAACCTTTTTATTTACTGCCTATTCTTTCAACGGCAGAATATGTTGCGAAATAGAACTTCTATAATGCTGAGATATTTGCAAAACTCCGCACCGCAGGTGTCTTCTGTGGGGAACGAACGCGCTATTGTTCTTTCCGGAGAGTGACGCGTTCACCACTACACCATGCGGGTCCTTCATTTCGCCTGTCTCTGAGCTAGTTCTATCGATCTTTTTTTCAGCCTGAGAGACAGGCGAAATGAAGGACCCGCATGGTGTAGTGGTGAACGCGTTACTCCCCGGAAAGGACAACAGCGCGTCCGTTCCCTACCGCAGACACCTGCGTTCCGGAGTTTTGCAAATATCTCAGTATTATAGAAAACTATTCTTTTGGTAAAATTAATTCATTTGGAGACATATCATTCTAAGTTTTGAAATTCACTGTTCCCTTTAAACGGCTCCTCTCAATTCCAAACTCCAGTTTCTCGCAAAAACATGATCCGATTATCCGTCTATTGTTAGAATCGCAGATTTGTCTTTCGTGTGAGAGGTTTCCAGTTCGCCATGACGTCTTCTATCCTATCGAAGCCTACCAAACGAAAAACAGTTCGTCTCTAATGAAAATCTTGTTTCCTTCGTTCTTTACCAACCCTCTACAAATCTGTCCTTGTCATTCTTAGCGCGCATGCCATTTTCTTTCTAATCCGATAAATCAATTCCATTGTTACTTTTCTCGATCTTGTTTCCCCTTGTTGTCCTCTTCATACTTACTAGACGATATTAGCTTACTCATAGTTACGCATGTGCATTGAATCCACTTCACTTATTCATTTCATTATTTTCATTCCTACCTACAACACCATAAATGATTGACGTACCCAAGCCCGACGTTAAGTAACGAGGCAGTCATTTTCCGGCAATAGTAAAACTGTTTCGATGCAAATGACAAAAAAAACCATGAAACAGTTCCTTTTTATGTTCCTTGTAACTGAAATTACTGCTCACCATATGTGACATCACCCATTCGATAGTGATGTTTTCCTTGCCATTTTTTGCGAATCCAGGCCAATGCTTCGAGACGAGGTCATCATAACTTAACTGTCCACGATCAGCAAGAATTGCTATGCAGACAGCTGCAACCGCTTTCGTACACGAGAAAACTACACTAAGAGTGTCCTGAAAATGGGGTAATAAGCCATTTCCCAACGGTTTTTGCTCTGAAGTAACTTCATGGGAAAAAATACATTTCCTGGAGATACAACAGATAGTCGAAAAGTGTTAAACTTCCTAGCCTTTGAAGTGAAGATGTCAAGAAAGAAAGTTTCGCCTACGTACTGCAGAACATGAAACCGACTCCACTAACCAGTTCGACATTTGCATAACGATCTTTGAAAAAAAAACACAGAAAAAAAGTCCGTTCAAAAATTCGAAGCCACATCAACTATTTGCCTCCTTACGAGTTTTCTACTCGAGTTTTCAAATTTTCAAATACTCGAATATTCGACACTCGACGGACACCACCTCACCTGTTTCCACTTTCTAGCCGCATGCTTGTCGGCGTATCCACCCCATACATCAACCGCCTTCTGACCTTTCACATAAACCGCCAACGAAGCTCCCTCGGCTTCCCAACCATCCAGGAAATTCTGTCTAAATTTTCAACACGTCAGTATGAAAGCAATGCATGGGGTAGATTGTATATGGCGTATGGATTAGAAGATTAAGTTAAGAAGTTCTGTCGTGATATAAAAGCTCCTCTACTAAAGACATCGTATTTACAGCATGCCTTCAGTTTATTTTAGAAACGATTTCAAAAGAGCATAGTTTGATCAATAACAAGGATTCATAACAAATAAAGCTTAGAGCATAAAGCTCTCGGCGTTGACCAATCCCTGAAGGATGGGCACTATGAATCCAACTTTATCAAAGATACCAGAAGTGATTGAATGAATATGTGGTCTTTAAAATGACTTGCGGTGGCCTACTAATGTATCCAGTCACTGTTGCTATCCTCCCAGACAAGCCTGGTCTGGTACCAATTCGCCGATCTCAGAAGGATGGAAGACTTGGTGAGCTTTGGACTTGGGATGAACCCACGGACCACATGCATCTTGCAAAGGACCTCTAATCCCAATGCAATGCAGCGTTTTTTTTACAACGAATATCACCTAAAACTACAGTATTAGAAGTATTAAATAGAAGACCAAACTAACTGAAAAGCCTTGCGGACACCATCAAATCCTTCCACAATTTCACCATCGAAATGGAGCGGATATTTGGTGTAGAGCACATTAATGACGATGTGCGCAACGATTCCAAAAGTGCCAAAAATTAAAGTATATCGTAAAAAACCCATTCTGAAAAAGTAAAATAGTTTATTCTGAGTAGTATCAATTAAATCATCCTTTGATCCTTTCACAATTATTAATCACGAATTGACAACAATACTAGAAGAAATATGGGTACATGTGCAAGAAACAGAGAAGCAGAGTGATCTGCGTCCTTAGCGCACCCAAGACTGTTCAGTGGGGTATTCTTAAGTCATAGATTGATATGTACTACTAGACCGAGTAATACCAAAAGGACTAGAATTTGTTCAGTAGTCAAAGTCTCGTTACAAAAGGTGTATCAATACAAACAGTACCACATAGATATTGGTAGGGCAGTACTATTACACATTCTTGTTGTTCCTTAAATGTCTTTCTAACGTCCTTACAGGACAATCTAGAAACTCCTGGTGATAAAAAATCATCTGCTCCCTTACACATTGTTAAAACACAGATGTCTCAGAAACCTTCGTTCGTCGCTAAGGCAAATTTTAGCATTTTTGTCTCTTTTTCATCTTTTTTTCCTTGTTTTTTCTCCCCGACATTATTTTACTTTAATAATTGTTGTCAAAACATAGCACTGTGGAACGAACGTTAGATTGTTATTATAACAAATAGAAGGATAAAGGGTAAAGCTGTCCGCGTTGATCAATCTGTGGTATGGCCCGTGCATTCGACTTCATTAAGCATCGTTGGAGGTGACTGAATGCATGTCTAGTCTTTACAATGGCTCGCGGTGGCCTAGCGATGTATCGAGCTAGTGCTGCTAGCTTCCCAGACAAGTTTGGTACCAATCTGTCGAGTCCAGAGGGATGGAAAGCTTTGTGGGCCTGAGGCGCTAGGATCGATCCTTTGTATAGCGCAGGGCGCCTCCGAGCACGGCGCAACATTCACCCGTTATTCTAACACAGAAGTAATAATCAAACCGCAGAAGTGTCAAGCGTTCAATGCCTTATAGAGGAAAATTGAACAGAAATGCTTAAATGCTTTTACAAAACGAGTTAGGAAGATCAACTTTATGAAATAATCACAAGTGATTGTGAAAAATAGCGTTCTTATAAAGACAGATATTGTGACCCAATGACAGATTCCGCGCCATGGGGATGAATGAGATGATTCCTTCAAAAATCAATACTGTAAAGTAAAAGTAGTTATGAGGGTTTGGTTATCAGTATTTCGTTCAGGAACGGAGTGAACAGTGTCAACAATCGCCCATTTTATTGCGCTCCTTTATTGACATGGAAAAGAAATAGTACTTTGGTTCGAATGAGAATAAATCTGTTTCGGTTGTTCAGCTAACACGGGACGTCACAGAACTTTTATTCGGCTAACGTCTCGACGTCTTCGTCTTCCTCACAACCGATGATCCAAGTCGATGTCCGTGGTCCTCAGCCACAGCGAGAGTACGAAAGACTGTGGACATCGACTTGGATCATCGGTTGCGAGGAAGACGAGGACGTGGAGACGTTAGCCGAATAAAAGTTCTATAACAACCTCGTGTTAGCTGAACAAAGTAGACAAGTTCATTTATTGTTGACGTCGAGGTTAAGAGAAAGTCGGTTCAGTTAATTAGTGGGAATAAACTCCTGAACATTTTTTTTGAGTGAATGCTAGACTTTTTGTCCCAACGACAAATCACAAGCCGTTCTTAAGAATCCATGCCGTTCTAGAAGGATCGTGGTTGCAAGATTAATAAATCTCCCTCCACCATTGTCTGTGTGGAGGATTTGGGAACGCTGCTGGATGCATTTGTGGAACTGCTGACGCGTTTACGTATGAACTTCGCCCTCTTATTATCGATTACGATTGTTTATTTTATTCTTTATCCTTGTTCTACAAGACAGAAAAAGGAGTTGGAGAAGAAATCAAACCAGCACCTTTCTTCCTGATAGACAGCGGGACTGCATCACTAACCATTCTTCAATCCATTGCGCTATTACGGTTGTAAGATGAAGAAATGGCCGGGAGGTGTGCTAAGACCTACACATCGTCACAAGAGGGAGAAGCCATTGAAATATCTAGGTATGTATGATTTATGAGAAACTTTAAACAGAAATAAAACCACAGTGATGTTGAGGTATTTGCAAAACTTAGACCCCACGCCCCATATTCGAAACCGCGATTACCTATTCCGGAAGCTCAAGTGTTATCCATTGCACCACTGAGATCTTTGTTTACCCTTTTTCTCAACCATATTTTTAATATATCGGTGATATCAGGAATCATCCGTCAACGGGAATGATCTGGGAAGCACAAATCGGCATTGAACCCAATTAATCTGAGGTTGCATTCGAAATCACAATGTTTAACTTCTCATTCCCATTGACGGATGATTGCTGATGGCATCGTTGGTGTAAAAAACTGGTTGAGAGAAAGGCTAAGCAAGAACCTCAGTAGTTCAACGGTTGAAACGTGAATCACTGGAAAGGGTAGTCGCGGGTTCGAATATAGCTTGGGATTCAAGTTTTACGAATGTCTCAGCGTCATTTTGGTTGTATTTCACATAATACTCTTTCGTTGAGAAAAGAATGGGCATTAGATAAAACTTTAGGCATTTGGAATGAAATCCACTTTTTATGTAGATATAGATTGGTCGTAATTTTGACTTTTTTGAATTAATAAACATGTCTGAATCTAAGTTAACGATTTAGACCTTAAGTGTTCAACTTGAAATAAAAGTGTATTTACAGCTCTTATAGAGATTTGGGCAGAACTATTTAAGTAAGTAATAAGTAATAGAAAGAAAATCTTGCCATAGCCGATAGCATTATGGCTGTTGTACGCTTTTATTTTTCACCACACACGGGAGCTGAATATCTGCTTTAAAAGAATTGAAAGCTAAAAGAATATAACTGATACTCAGGATATGGAAGTGGTGAAAATCATCGAGAAAGGACAGATTAGAAATCGAATTATAAAACGAAAAGAAAATGCCAGGGTCATCTGCAGGGTCGCCCTTTGGCTAACATGACCCACAAATAAATCACTTATTGCTTGAGCTATCGCAATACCAGGAATCATCACCATTCTGGTACCAGGTTAGTCGCGTGGTGGCAAATCCCTTTCTGATTCACATGAGCTGCGACTGTCTGGGGTGGTGACGACCCGAGGAAGGCTTCGGTAAGGCTGACCTCGGGAATCCAGGGAGCCACAACGGCCAAACAATGTGTGCAAATTATGTCCGGGCTCGCATAACCAATGAAGACGGGCTATCCAGGTGTCCAGGCGGATGAACTGCTAGAAATTACGCATCGTCACAAAGGTGCTACCCTCTAGCGCACAATGCTCAGTTTTCATGGTTTCCGCGTGGGCTTCCGCGCCTAATTTCATGTCGGCTACGGACTTGCATATCTGGGCCACGACTAGTGCACAGCACATTGTGAATAATGCTGCTTTTTCGACAGTAGGCAATAAATATTTGGCAGCTTGGGAGTAGACGGATGCGAGGAGATTACTCGAGATGACTGCGATGACCCACAGCGTAAGGGCGAACCACTGTGGACCATCGAGTTCAGTGTTCGCCATGAGATGAGACGGGCTTCTCGAAAGGCGTGAATGCTTTTGCGTAAGTACAAACTGAATATAAAGGTCAAGAAATGAGTTTGGAAAAAGGGAACCTTAATGAATGGTGGAAACTTTCCATACTTTTTAGTGAAGAAATTGGAGCCATTGTTCCACAACTATTGATGAAAATTCTAGAATATAATCGTAAACAATATTTAAGACGCACGATATTTTGTGATACTATCGTCGTAGAATCCTTTCTCCGTGGGCTTTTCATTATTTCCTCTTAGTACTTCCACCTATCTCTATATTGGTGTAACCGACTTCCCTTCTAATAAAAAATCTTAATTTTAGTCGTTTTGGACTAATTTTTCTGCTCAAGAAGAGGGACCACGGATTTCTCTTGTTCATATGGTCGGTAGATTTTCATGAGTTATTCATCGCCGACATTTGAGACCTTATTGTGATCGTGAAGAACAGATTTACAGTAAATCAGAAGGTGTTTTAGGAAGTGATAAAAACTGCGATCATATCTTACATAACAAGGGATAAATACAGTTTTAAGTCATTCAAATTGTGCTCGAGAGTTGGATACGCTTAGGGCATTTTAGTGCATACCTGTAGCGACACCTTCAGAGACTGATTCAGTGCTAGTGACGGGGATTAAATACGACTTTATGGATGAAAAAAGTTATCTCTGTGCCGATTACTGGTACAATAGTCTTCCCTCGGTTGAGGAGTTACTGCTGAGAAGGATTCATCTTATCAGTAGCTTTAAGGAAAACAAAAAAGGACTTTCAAAATGGGTCATCAACCAGAATCAAGAGAGGACAGTGGATGTCATAGCGAATCGGAAAGGTAATATTCCGTAGAATTGGAGACATAAGAATCACATTATTACGTCCACTCTTCTTGGCACGATACCTTCTCTGTACGCTATCGAAGGCCACAATAAGGGGCTTTTCGTGGGCAGAGGCGGAAGCACGTGAAGAAATTCTAGCTGAATGACTGAAAGTGAACGTCTACTTGCGTTACATTGAAAAAAAACTGGGTTTTTACAGCCATTGAGCTATCAAATCCTTGAAGTACCAGTAAACCGAGAATATGGAGACGAAGTGTAGAAGGTTATATGACACTATCAAGGCATTACCATTGCAACTACTCCGCAAAACGTTCTAAGTAAATTAGTAATAAATGTAATCGTTGTGGGAAACAATATTGTTTAGAATGCTCCATTACTGATCACACAAAATGCACTAATTCGTTAAGGACAAGCCTTAAGTGAATAAATAGCATTACTTGATACTTCATACTTGAATGGCCCGTTCTCACTGGTTGTGCGGGCCCCAGTATGATCTCCATTTTTCGGAGATTTTCTGGTGACGCCATTGCAGTTCCCTGGAATTCCGAGGTTAGCCTATCCAAAGTGTGCTCCAGATCTTTACCACCACGGGCAGTTGCAGCACTTGTGGATCAGAGGGAGATTTGCCACCATACGAGTTTCATGCCAGGATGGTGGTGGATC